AGGAGCAAAATCGAAATAAAAAATGAGGAAATTTGTTAGGGTTTTGGTTGATAGGCTGAGATAGTTTAGTAATTTGGGCCTTTTTGTTGGGTCAAAGCTAGGAAGCATTGCCGATAATTTGAGTGAAGCCTCTTTTGTTAAGTAATGAAATCACCTCTAAAATTGCACCATGGTTTGAGCTTTTTCGTTGTAGCACGAGAAACTGGATATGTTTGGGTATGTTTGGGTTGGGCTTATAATTTTAGTGAACTCCCTTTTTTTACAAAAAAATAATTACGCAGTAGCCAAAACATAAAATATTGTATATATACTAATATAATTTTTTATTTGCAAACATACAAAATCTGACATAACTATTTGCATGCATATCAAATCTCTCAAATTTTTTATTCTACGCTTAATTTGTTGTCTTCTACTACAATTGAATTTTCTCTTTTTCTTTTTTCAATCGGTCGAGTTCTGAAGTAGGGTCGAGGTTCTTCATATCGAGCTCTGAAGTCAGGTCGTCCAGGCCTGATATGCCATCATTCGACAGATGCGTCCTCAATTTTCTCCGGGCTTCGGCGATCGAATAGTGGTGGATCCACCACCGTGTTCATCAGGTAAAAATTGTCGAAAATTGCAGTTATACCACCGTTTCATTATTATGATGAGCGATTGTGAAATTATGGATGTTTTTGTTTTTTGCGTTTTATTTTGAATTTAATCCCTTGAGTCGGAGATACGGTGGCTTCTTTTTCGATCCATGCGGTTGTTTTTTTAAGAGACAACGGTGACTCAAACATCCATGGTTGAATGGTTAAAGCGCCCAACTCATAATTGGCGAGTACTGCGCGTCCCTCCCCTCTGTTTGTCCCATTTTTGTTGCGTTTTTCGTTACTGTTTTATCTTTCTGTTTCCCCCATTTTAGGTCTTTCGTTTGTTTTTAGTTCGTTTTGTGTTTTGTTTCATGTTTTCCTTTATTTGGAGTAGAGATGTTAAACGGGCTAGCCCTAGCGGTTTCGGGCTAGCCCTAGCGGGCTTCGGGCTAAACGGTCCGAGCCTAAAAAGTCCGGATTTAAACGGGCTACCAATAAAAAGACCTAACCCTAAACCTAGCGGGCTTCGGGCTAAACGGGCTATACGGGATATAATAATAATAATAATAATTAAAAAAAAATTACAACACCTAGTTAACGGTTTTTTTCAACGGCTATTTAGTATTTACCACTATATATATACAACTACACTTCATATATGATCACACATTACGAACTTTTAAATAACATATTGTTTCTCCATAGGAAAAAAGATGTTCGAACTATTACTTATAACTACCATTTGACTAGTTATTTGGTACGCTTCGGGAATTTTCACAATATTGCATACTGCTGAATTTATATTCTATCACTATATTCTATGTGTTAGGTCTTTGTCTCATTTATTTTTTATTAGCCGTTCTGATTTGCTTAAATATCTTGCAGTGAAATAGAATAAAATTTGTTAGTAATTATATATCAAAATAATAATAATAATACATTATAACTCATAATTCCATGTGCAGTAGAATAGCAAAATTGTAATATATAAGGAATCAATGGACATATTTCTTATATTTCTAAAAACATATACACCACCCAACCCAAGTTAAACGGGCTAGCCCTAGCGGTTTTCAGGCTAGCCCTAGCGGGCTTCGGGCTAAACGGTCCGGGTCTAAAAAGCCCGGATTTAAATGGGCTGCCAATAAAAGGCCCTAACTCTTTTTTTTCGGGCTAAACGGGCCGGCCCGTCGGGCCAAGGATCATTTAACATCTCTAATTTGGAGTTTTCTATGTTTTTCGCCTGTTTCTCGGTTTTCTCTGTTTTTGTTTTCGTTTCTGGTGTGCAGGTCGGAAGCTTCTTGAGGATAGGATTTCAGGAAAATATTGGCCAGACAAGCATATTTAGATAGCAGGGTTCGTTGGCGATGAGTAAAAAAAAATAGAACTCAATTCCGAGTTCAGACGAGCTCAAATTAGCCCGAGACGCGAAGTCGTGCAAGCTGGTCAACAGCTCACGCCCCAGACCTTCACGTCGCGCGCCGCGCCGTGGCACCTGCCACGGGCCAACAGAGACTCCTGCTCGAGCGCCATGCCGCGACACTTGTCACACCGTGGCAACCTGCTGCAAGCCACGCTGCGCGCCACACCGCGCACCCGCCACGAGGCTTTAGAGAGTGTTGCTTCGTCGAGCTCCATGCCGCGGCAGGCCGCGATGCCTCCTCCGCGCCGTGGTATGTGGGCTGGGTCTATAAATATGCCCCGAGTGGTTCATTCTCGCGATCTCTCTCGACGGTGGTGAAAACCCTAGGTCCTGAAATCACCTCTATCTCCCTACTTCTTTTTCTTTTCTTCTTCGTTTTTCTTCTTCTCTTCATCTTTCTCTTCCATTTTTCTTCTTCTTCTTCTTCTTCTTCTTAACATTTAGGGATTAAGCTTGTATTTTGAATTCAACACTTGGATTGAGATTAATTGTAAGTTTTTCTCTCTTGTTTAATTCATGAAAATGGTTGATTGGGGAGAAATGTTTGGTTTTGTCGAATGTGATTTACTTAGCTAATTCTGATTGCTAGGGATAGGAGATGATTGTTCTTGTTTAATTCGTAATTGTTAGGCTTTAATTTGTTCGTTCTTGTGCGAGTGGTTTTAATTAGAAATTGATGAATTCTTGCTTGATAGTTTGATATAATCGAAGGGTGACACTTCGATCTTACGATTGGAAACGATTGGATATTGATTTGTCGAGTTAGGGTTTTGTTGATTCTATATAACTAGTTGATTAAACCCCTTCTAATTTAATTGACGACTTTTAGAACTGAAAGGGGAGGATTCGTAGAACTAGGCTCGCACGAGATAAACGATTTCGTAATTGAATAGTATATAGGTTTTGGATTGAAGTACATGCTTGTCGATGTCCCTTCCCTTGTTACGAAACATTATTGGGATTGAATTATTTGCCGGTGTTGTATGCTCGGACTTGCTCGTCTATGTTCAATCCCTTGTTACGAAGAGTTATTAGGAGCAAACCGCTAGATGTTTAGGCAATAGCGTCAATCTCGAACCAAACGATTAATGGCCCAATTTTGCGAATAGAAGTCGAATTAATTATCCCCGACTCCCTGGCTTCTTTATCATTGTTTCATTTCTATTTTAGGTAGATATATGTTTTATGCATTTCATAGTTGTTAGTTAAAATATTTTATTTTGATTAGAATGTTTAGGATTTATTTTCCTTTTTGTGTGCGATCGACACCAACACTAGATTCTGAACCGCATTCCTCGAGAGATCGACCCGGGGAACGAATCATTCGATTCGGTACTCGGTAATTCAAACATAATTTATACACAACACCCTCCTCCTTCCCAGCGGGGAGGTCAAGTTGGAGATGACGAAGGCGAGGCCCGAAGCTCGGGATCGTGGAGAGTCGGCAGTATATGTTGCGTGTATTGGTAATATATTTTCAGTATATGTTTTTGTCGGCACGTGCTCGTGAAGATGTCGTCAAGTTGTACTGTTTGTTTCCCACATACCTCTGTTGTTATGAGTAGCTTATGATATGTATATAATCCACAATTTTATTCTGGTTATGTTAAGATGTATAGCTTTTCCATAACAATTACGATTTTTATGCTTTTGAACTCATTTTTATCCAATTGATTGACATTTTTTCAAGCTACTGACCTTTGTATTTGTATCATATACTCTACATATACTAAAATATTTTATGAAAATAACAGTTATGATCAGTTTATGATATGTATATGACGGGTTATATTATATACAGAGCAAAAATTCAAACATCACAATTGTGGTTGGATAAAAATTCTATGTAAAAAAAAATGAAACATATACTGAATATATTGACTATAAACACAATATACTCAACCAAAATTCAAACATCACAATTGTGTTAGATAAAATTGTTATGTAAATAGAAAATGCACCAGGTTATATACTGAATATAAACGCAATATATACTACTCATTTAGACATCATGATCATGTAATTTTTGTATAGTTAGAAGATAATGTCGTTTGAAATTCAAATTCTTTATCTTTCTATTTTGTATTGAAACAACATCCTAATTCGGGATCGGTTCCAATGCATCCGCTTATTTAAAGTGAGGATGTAAGACTCACTCCTAACCACAAGATTTAGATCTTGATTTAAATAATAATTTTTTATTTTTATTATTTAATTTTTTATTTTTAATTATTTAAATATTATTATGACCATTGACCGTTGACTCCGACGAGAATCGTTGACTTCTGGCGTTGACCGTTAACTTCTGGCGTTGACCCGTTGACCTTAGTATGTATCATGTATGAAAGAATAATTAAAGACAACTAACCTTTCAACTAAAGACAACTGACTTTGCAACTACAAACAACTAACCTTGCAAACTGAATACAACTAAACATTGAAAATGAAAACAACTAACCCTGCAACAAGATAGAACTAACTTTGCAACTATAGAGAACTAACCTTGCAACTAGAGAAAACTAACATTGCAACTAGACAGAACTAACATTGCAACTAAAGATAACTATTGCAACTAAAGATAACTAACATTGCAAACAAAGACAACTAACTGGTATCAGAGCCCATGCCTAATTCATCTTTGTGCACAATTCGAATTAGGACTTACATACATACATGGATTATTTTTGTACGGGAGCAACATATAGTAGATTAGAATTATAAATTAGTTATTTACAAGTGTTCTTAAATCCGACTATTGTGGCCCGAATGTATCTCTTTTAATTGATGCGTGTTTTATAGGCCTCAAACATGTCGAGGAATTTTGGGTTGGTAAATGCTTGTAATAAATTATTCTCTTTTAATTCAACTTGTTGCCAGGCGCGAGCGACCTGAGGTGTGCACAACACCGCACACGAGGTTGGGTCGAAGGCTGTAGGCCGACTGCTGGAGCAGCATGCGTACGCTGGAGGAACTAAGTCTCTACACTGGCTCGCTGGGCGACGGTCAAGACAGCACGCGTTTAGCGCATGCACACCGTCGTTCGCTCGGCTGAGCATTACGACTTAAGTATGGGCAGACCCGGCAAGACGCGATGCCACTCGGTGATGACCCGATAGGGCGTAATTTTTCCCGACGATGACTTATTCGGCGAACACGATGATCTGGTTCGAGTAGCTTGTTGAAGAAGAAAAGTGGGAGCCACGACGAAAAATGTATTCTATGTCCGAAAAGAAAGACACGGTTCTACAATGACAAGGAATGCTAATTTCCAAGATGGATTGGAAATAATTATTGGCCATGATAGTTGGATTTTATTTCTTAGTTAGTTATTGCTCTAATTATACATGTCCTTGATTGATTTAATTACTTTATGTGCAAGAAAATTATTAAGAGCATGCTTAGAAAAATCTCTTAGTTAAAATATTAAGTGTTATTGAAATTAAAATATTTATTAATAATTCCACGACCTCCATTATAAATTTGTTAGTGAAGTGATTCTAAATTGCGCGTTGACATTAGAGCCTTCCTCCCAAAGGACAATTTTTTCATAGTTCACAAGGACAAATTTCCTACGACATGGTTATAGTAAGCTATTTCAAAAGCGTACGGATCACCCAAAGGTAGACGTGCAATTTTGGTAGTAAACTTGGTACCAATTAATGGGTTACAATTAAAGTACAAATAATTATGTTTTTCCAATGGAAAGTTACATTCTTATTCTGTACAGGTCAAAAGTGGACCGACTATGATTTATATGTTGAGAAAGTCTAAAGTCAACCCGAATAATTAATGGGATAAAATCCTCCTCTTGCGACTGTGTGAACCATAGACGGCCACACCACAGTGGTCTGCGGGGATTCGGTGTAATGAGATGCCGGTGAATCTAATAAAATATTGCTTTAAGGGATCAATATTTAAGACTTAAATTCAAAGACTTGACTAAGTAAAATTTATCTTCGCATGATCTCAGGTATTCAAAATGTCTTTTGCAACACCCCGCTACTTAGGGCCAATTTTTCGCAAATTCTACCTTCGAAAACGCTTATAAATTTTTCAAAATCGTTTGCGAACTAACTCGGGATGTTGCTAAAAACCTTTCTGCTTTAAAAATCCGTTTTCCTAAACTGGGTCTATCGACTGGTTTAGACTTAAAAAAAATCATATTAAATCTTTTATTGAATCAAGCATGTAAGACTAACCCTGTTCGTACTGGCGAACCGGGTAAAACTTTAAAATCTGAAAGTACTGTCATGCAAGTTCGATAATGAAAATAAACATAGCGGAAGTCTGAAAATGCATGGTCATAATAGTTATACAAAACATAGTAAACAAATGTCCCTGGAACGGCTAGCTGTGCCAACTCCACGACCACAACCACCACAACTGCCCTCATGCCTGCCCGCCGACCCTGTCATCTGAAAAACATAATGGGGGTGAGTACTGGTCCTCTTGTACTCCATAAAAACCCTGGCTAAAGTAAACAACAATAATAATAATGATATCACAGTACTGGTATGCATAAGTAAACTGAAATCTCCCGGACACTATGGCCGGTAACTGTAATCTCCCGGACACTCTGGCCGGTAACTCTCAGACACTCTGGCCAGTACCATGTGCACACTCTGATGGTATATTTAAGGCGAATTGGGCCACCACCAGAACTTAGGGAAGGCAAACTCGGCCTTGACCCCAAGCGGATAAAATCCATATACATACCTGAACATGATATCGACTATTATACTCAATGTATAACCCAGAATGGGTCCCCACCTGATCTGCTTTGAAAATACGTAAGTGCTGCTGTGCTGGTAGCTGAATCCTCGAGCTACATAAAAATATAAACAAACAAATATACTAAGTACTATGCTCGTCATATGCTCAATAATATGCTAAGATGCTCTACTCTATCAGATTACCCATCCGGATATAAAGGAACACTCTATGGGTTTACTAAAATAATACTGAGTCCGAATATTAGACTAATATGCTTAACTAATCTGGTTTGGCTCGAAAAAATACTAAAATTTCGGAATAAAACTCGGACCGAAAATCTCGAACCAAAACTGACTCGAACCGCCGGCTAAACCGGCCGGTTCGCTAACTGACTGAACCGGGTCGGGCTGAATCGGACCGGGTTGGACCGCCGGTTCACTCTGGACCGAGTGGTCACGGGCTGCATGGACTGGCTGGGCTCGGTCCCGCGCAGGGCCTGCTGGTGCTCTAGCGCGGCGCTAGGCACAAGCTGGGTGCGACCGGGCCTCAGTGCTGGGCGCGGCCAGGCTTGGCTGGCACGGCCTTGGCACAACTAGGGCCACTCGTGTGCTGCTGGGCACAACCGAGGTCGACTGGGCGCTGGCGTGCTTCTGGCACGGCCGGACTCGGGTCTGGCACAACTGGTGCGGACAGCCACTACCCGCACGAACTCTGGCGCGACTGGGGTGATTAGGGCGTTGTCGGGCGACCCTGGGCACTCGGGCATGCTGCTGGGCACGTACCGAGGCCAACTGCACCTAAGGAACATGACTCGAGTTCACTGGGCACGACACTGGGTGCTTGGGCATGCGGCTGGCACGACCCAAGGTTTACTCCGCGTGGCACGAGCGACTGCCTCGAGACCATGCGTGCACTAACGCTGGGACAACGCTGCCGGGCGCTGTCGGAGGTGCTTGGGCGCGACTGGCGCCGAGACCTCGCATGCGGACACGGACAGGCACTGACAGGCGCTGCTGGGGCGCTGTAGCAAGTGTTGGGACCGCTGTGCCTCGCGCCTACCGGGCGCGGGCACTGACTTGGGCCTAACTTAGCTTCTGAAGGCACTGGACAGGGCTGACTTAGCCTCTGCTGGACACGGGCCGGCACCGCGCGCGCTGCATGCGCGGCTAGTGGCCGTGGCCGGTCCTTGCCGAATTTCTGACTACTTTTTCGGTGACAATCGAACTAAACCAACATAACATGATATAAAACATGTAAATATGCCAAGAAATGCTAGGGCAACTCGGTTGGATTTTGACTTGGCTCAGTAGGGCCGATAAGGCACCTTTGAGCCCTAGGTCACCGAACGAACATACTCAACTTTTATAAACACTTCTGGCCGAATATATAACATTAAAAATCATGGCTAAAGAGGCTAGAACATTGGTCATATCTCACATGCATATAACTTAGGCTCAGAGGTGAAAATAAGCTCGATTTCACTAACAACTTGACCGAACAAATGAACTCAAAGTATGCCTATCTTTTACCATTGTCGTTCTCATGATTTTTGAGGAATTATAAGCTACTAATTTCGGCCTAACCATGCATGCACAAGAATTTCCGAATTTAGGGCTCGAAACTTCAAAAAATCATATCTCCATATTATTCACGTGCATGGAATCATTTTTCATCATGATAATTCCTAATTTATCATGTATAAGCTGGAAAAAATGATAGGTAGGAGCTTACCTTGCTCGAAAGTCGAAATGAGAGCTAGGGCTCGAATAGGGCTAGGCACGGCTTCGGGAGTTATGGCTTGGCTCGGGGTGCTATTTGCTGAGCTTGTTGAACTCCAATGACTTATAAAAATCCAAGAAAGTCTTGAAAGTTGATAAGTCTTAGAAGAAATAGGCTGGAGCACGAGATGGCCGAAGCTTCCCTTTCCCCGGGTCCTTGCGCGCGAGGTAAGGCTAAGGTGAGTGGTTCTCGAATTTTATCTTGTTTTCTCTCAAAGTGCTCGAGCTCTCAAGTCTCAAAATGTCTAAGAGCCTCTCTAAGCTGAAGAAGTGAGGCTTTTATGGAGTGGAGGGGCGGATTTTACCATGGAAGCTCATGGGAGACAAAATGTGAGTGGGAATCTTTGCTCCATACTCATTGGGACTTGAGGGCTGGCCTTGAACGGTTTAAGAGGGCATATTGCAGAGCATTTGGCTGGAGAATTGTGCTTCGGTCAGGACTTGGTCAAAGCATGAGGTGAGTGGGGAACAAGGTATGACATGCACCATTAAAATAATGCTCCATTACCAATAAACTATCCTTAATGCCCATTTAACCTTCCTTAATCTTACTTAGGGACATCTTAGGCTTAATTAATCCCCAAAACCCTTTAATATTGCAGCACTTGGGTCTTGAAGGAAATGAGCCGAAACTCTTGGAATTGGGCTCAGAAGGTGGGCTGGCGCTGGGCCTGGGCGCACTGGCCGCGCTGGGCTGCACGCGGCCCTGGACTGGCGCAACACTGCTGGGCTGCGCGCGAGGAAAACTTGAGCTAAGTGAAACTCTTGCTCTTTGGCTGGATTTTATGGATTTAACACATAGAAATATTACCATAAATCACGTGGCTATGACTTGAGCCTTCTCGGCACGGCTATGGACTTGACTCCCGGCACTAGGGCGCGAGGGCTTGGACCCGGCACGAGCTAGGTACGGGTTACTAGGCCGAGGGAACGATATCTAAGGCTCGATAAAAATGATCTCATACTTAGAAAATATTCTAAGTGAGACTATAAGCACGACTAGGGCTCGAACAGGTCTCGGCACGGCTAGGGCTCGAGACTTGGCTAGGCGCAAGACTTGTGACCGAACGACTCGGTTCCGGACACGGCTTGATTGGGACGATTTATCGAAACATACTCGGTTTCGGTTATTCGTCAACTGGAATGATTAATTCCGACTGAATAAAATCCATTGCTAAAATTTATAGATTAATAACTGAAATTGAAAAGCTGAATAACTGGGCTCAAAACTCAAGACGAGCAATATTAATAAAAGAAAAAATAGTTCAAACTCGGAACTAAATTGCCACTTTTATTAATACAGAATTGGGCTATTACATCTTTCAATCTGTTGTCTGTAATTCTCAAAGAAAACAAACTTACTGGTCACAACTACATTGTCACCCACGCGCTGTCGACCCGACTTCGTGCGTGCGCGTTGCGCACATCCTCAGCAACACTGGCGCCTAACAGCATGCTGCCGGCGAGCTTTCCTACATGTGCACAGAACCACATATGCCGTCGACTGTGGGTTCGCGAGTGGCTCGCCTCGTCTGGGTTCGTTCGCGTCCATCCTATCAAA